AAACCCTTGGACCTTTAAAGGTGACCCCTCCGCCTGCGGCACTGACGCCGCTGCTTCGCCAGGGCCGAGGGCCGCGGAGGCCTCACTGGCCGCCCCTGCTGAGGCGAGGGGGGTTTTCATTCTGTTCGGGTTTCTGGCTGGGTTTCGGGTTCTAGGGAGAAGGGTTGGAGGGTTGATAGTCATTTTAATACTCTATAGTATTGTTGCAACACATTAGGGATTTTGATAAGTATAGTATTCTTTTAGTAAAGCTGATGATGGAATGATGGGAAAATATAGTACATTATGGTATTATGATAATACACATTATGATGGAGCTATAGTCGTACTATAGTACACTATAGTATCATTATTGTATTGCTCCCATATTTGGTAGTATATTACATCTGAAGTGTTGTTTCGTTTTGTGAGGGGTTTTGATCGGGTGTTGTAAAGTATTTTAAGGTTCTTGTGAGAGATTCCACAGTATGTTCTAATGTGGTTTTGTGCTTTGTTTGGGCTTTTGAAAGGATGTTATAGGGTGTTTCATCAGGGTTTGCAAGTCTAAGGGTCTTATGGGGCCTTGGTACTGCTTCATACAGTAATTTACATGGATTCGCGGCTTTGTGGGCGGTGTTGACAGGGTTTCACAAGGTGTGTTCATAGGATTTTGGGCGGTGTGTTGACAGGATTTTATAGGGTGTTGTCCTCTTACCAACCGTTTGCTACGTGGGCTATGTGCTAGCGCAAACAAGGCCAGAGTCCGCGTCAAAGTGTGAGGCTGGGGGTCTCTTCAGGATGCACCTGACGCATCCGGGGCTTGTGGGATACCACTTTGCGCCAAGTCCTACGGGCTCTGTGCTCTGCTAGCCCGAGGAGGCCTGTCACTCGAACTTGCCAGGATCCGAATTCTGCCTGAGATGGAGTGCAGCACCAAAACACATGTGCAGCAGGCTGATGCTCTACACTTTTGGTCAGTTGTAGATTACCGGCAAACGGTTAACGATGCTGTAGACACATGCTGAGACACGGCATGCATCAATCCTCGTGGCTCACCGTAACTTCACTGCCACGGCACGGATGGGCCCATGACGAGTCCTGTCAACTGGGCGTGTTGTGCTCCGGTGAACTGGATCGTATCACCTGGATTCTTGTTAAGGCACTCACTTCAAAGAACCATACCAAGGCTAGCATGGTGTTGAGGGGGAGTGTTTTTTTATTTCACTTTTCCAGGTTGTTGCTTAACGAGAGCCCAGTCACCGGACATGAGGGTGTTGGACTCCTCCGACCAGCCACGAAGGAGCCCATCCTGCCGACAGGCTACACCCACCCAAGCCTAACTTGCGTCTTTCCTTGAAAGATGCAGTCAGGCGACACTTGCTGCGAAGACCCGGCCTTCAAAATCTCGTCCGCAATGGCCCCGAAATGCTTGCAACATAACCTCTGTAACTGTTCTACGGCCAAGCTTGCCATGCAGGAGTGGGGGGTGCCAACACAGTACCCCGAGCGCACCTTGAATCACGAACTTTGTCAATAGATCAACACCTCAAACTGGCTACTTCTAGCCGTCCCAAATACCTCTGCCCTAAAGGCTTTAATCCTTGACTCCAGACCCTAGTTCCAGGCTTGAATGTTGATTTCCCCGACGCGCCGAACCCTGGTTCCTCGGGGCCCCCAAATTCTAGACCTCACGGCCCAAGCAGTGCAGCCCTTCTAAACACCCAAAGCACCCAGCCTCAAGTATTAGAGCTCAAGCTCTAGATCTGCCAGTGGCCACATACTTCCCTATACGCACTTGGGCTCTCACAGCTATCCTGTCCTTGACTACGCGGCACATCTTACCATCGTGGTGACTCCATGGTGATGGCGGGGATGACGACGACGGTAACGATGGCGACGGTGATAGCAGTGACGATGATGATGATGATGACGATGATGACGATGATGACGATGATGACGATGACGATGATGCGGATGTTGATGATGTTGATGCTGGTGATGCTGACGATGCTGACGATGCTGACGATGCTGTTGATGCTGATGATGCTGATGCGCTGCTGATGATGCTGGTGATGCTGATGATGCTGATGATGCTGATGATGCTGATGATGCTGATGATGCTGATGATGCTGATGATGCTGATGATGCTGATGATGCTGAAGAAGATGAAGATGATGAAGATGAAGATGAAGATGAAGATGAAGATGAAGATGAATAAGCAGAAGAAGATGATGATGATGATGATGATGACGATGCTGATGATGCTGGTGATGCTGATGATGCTGATGATGCTGATGATGCTGATGATGCTGATGATGCTGATGAAGATGAAGATCAACATGAAGATGAAGCTAAAAATGAAGATGAAGATGGTGACGATGATGATGATGATGATGATGAGGAGGAGGAGGAGGATGATTAGGATGATGATGATGTTGATGATGATTCTGATAGCGGCTTCTCTTCTGCAAATGCAGAACTTGGTCCTGCCATGTAACCATCTCCATCTTCAACAGCTGCTATATCAAGACCATGAACAGCGGCAGCAGCAGCAGCAGCAGCAGCAGCAGTGGAAGCCGCAGCAGAAACGCGCAACTGCTCCTCGTGATAACCTTCATCATGCTCACTATCCACATTATCCTCAGTATCATCCCCATGCCCACATCCTCGTCACCGGTATCACCCTTCTCACCACCATCACCATCATCATCATCATGATCATCATCATCATCATCACCATCATCATCATCACCACGATCAGCAACGAGATCCTGCAAATGACATCGTCATCGTTTTCGTCGACATCGCCATGTAACTTGAAGAAGAACACAGAAGAATCGCACCCCAAGGCCCGCGCGAGAGCGCCTCAGCCCAGCATCCGCTTGCAGCTTCGGCTAGACACAGCCCGCCAAGCCTTCATATCCCAGGCTGCGGTGCATTCCGGTGCAGGCTGGAGGCGAAACTTTAGGGGCTCAGGGCATTTGTGCTGTTCCGAAGTGCCGCGTGATCTGGGTCGGTAGGAAGTTCGTAATCTAGCAGGAGTTCCGGAGAAGGGCTTTCAAGCCGGCATCCGGTTCATGCCGGTTTTCCGAATCGGCGAATCGGGAGGCCTAGCACCTGTTCGACAGCTTTTCGTCCCAAGCACTAGCAAAGAAGCAAACCTTGCAAAAGCAGCCAACCAAGCACACATGGCACACCTTCCAAACCCCCTGGACCATGCAAGACGCTGAGTGGATCCCCCAAGCCTCCAAGCCCACGCAAAATCCTGAAAAGTGGGCCCAGAAGCAACAACGCCAGATCCAGGTCGGACACGCCTGGCTCCTGGCTCAACGAAGCGGGTCTCGTACAAATGTTAATACGGCGCTTCAGTGCGGTTGTGGTTTCGAGCAGGAGTTCTGGTAATGGCATGGCCATGGCGTCATCGCTGCCATCAGCATCACCGTAAGCGCCCGGAATTGCGAACCCTCGTGCCTCAAGTGGGGACTAGATCAGCCTGCCCGATTGCAGGCTTGAAGCCGTGTGCATCGCTGCACACCAATAGCACGCACGGCCGTTTTATTCCGATCGCCGATCGCGGCAGATCCCAGACTGGATCTTCCAAGGTCCGTGCCTCCCAAGTCATATCCAGAAGTGGGACCGGATTCCAGCAAGTCTCAAGCGGTGCAACAAGTCCAGCGCTGTGTTCACAGTGCGGTGATTCCATGGTGGTGGTCCCCAACCTGGCCAAAGCTCTGGGAAATCGAAGTGATATTCAAAGAAAATCTCGTCCACCAGCTGCGCCAGCTCGGGGCGTTCTGCCAGTGCCTCGACAACTTCCAGCTCTGGACCATGGTCGATGTCCACCTTTACGACGACGAAGTCACTCGGCTCTGCAGATTCCTTGAGAAGCCGAAGGAAACTCCCTTTCTCGGGCAGCGGTCCACGTAACGCCTGTGGGCACGGATTCTCGGCTACCGGTATGTTGTAGAAGTGCACTCTGTGGCGAATGTGGTCTGGGATGGGCTGCCACCAATGGGTTACGTTCATGGGCGTGACTTCCCAGGCAAAGATCTCATCGAACTCGAGGCAGCGATCCTTGTACATCTTAAAGAAAAGTGGGATGGAGGGCCCCAGCCCCACGCCAAAGTCATACTTCGAGCCGTCAAAGGCATCAAAGGAGTCCCCATTGTCCGTACAGCCGAGGTCATAATACTTGACAACTGGTTTCGGCTCAGATCTGCCGCAAGCATTCTCAGTGACCAAGTAGGTGATGTCAAAAGTGTCAGCTTTGAAAGAAGGGTCTGTTGCGCTACAGAGTTGACAATTCGGGTGCCTTGCCATCCCATGAAGAGGCTCGATGTAACTCTGAAGCGTCACCCCGTCAACAGACCGGGAGAAGGAGGAGAGCACCGAGGCTTCCTCAGGTGTTGGCTCCCTGGCTGGCTGACCATTAGGACGAAAGACAGACTTTGAATAGCCTGTCCATATCCCTGCTTCTTGCTGCTGTCGCAAAGACATGTTGCAGATCGCGCTGCCGTCTAGGGAGCTCTGTAGCCAAGATTCTTCCAGCTGACTGGACACATACTCCGAGCTGGGCCGGTGTGTGACATTGCGATTGATCGCCGCAACACATGGGTGCACGAAGTTGATCTTTGGCGGAGGGCGGTTCGACCCCTTCAAGACATAGATGCCCGTGCAGCATCCGCAAGTTAGGACTAGAAGGCCCAGCTTCAAGCGACTCCCAGCAACTCGCGCGATCAGCGAGAGGGCTATGGCTCGCACACTGCGATATCTCGCCATGTTATAAGACGATGTTGAGGTTATACGTAGAACACTGAAGATCGTAACGATGATGAGCTCAAGATATTGGTTAAATCTCTGAACCCATTGAACCGGCAAACTTGAACCGGCTAACACAACACAAGAGGGCGGCTGGATGGGATCCCAATGCGAAGATACGGTGCAATGGAGTAGGACATGCAGCAGAAGACTTTTTGGACCATGAGCTCCCTTACAGCTCTACAACACTACGACCACGTCCGCTACCAGATGAGACGATCACCACTAGGACGAGGAGGAACAGGCATTAGGATAGGGATGACGATGGCGATGGTGACGACGGCGACGACAGTGACGATGATGACGATGATGCTGATGGTGATGACGATGATGATGCTGATGATGATGCTGATGATGATGATGATGATGGCAATAGCAATAGTAACGATGATGGCGCTCAGGATGGTGGCAATGATCCTTATGGTGACGGTTATAGTGAAAGCGACAGAGGGGTTGATGATATTGATGATGATGATGATGATGATGTGGGGGCCATGGCACTGATCATGGTGCCGGTGCTGGCACAGTTGATAAGCTCTGGCAGCTGTGAACGATGTCCAGTCTGTTTACTATCCCTATGCTAGCAAGCGCTCTGAACCTACACTCAGCTCCACTGTTTGATCTCCCCTTCCCCTGTATCAACATGAATCAACATGGACACTGTTGATTTGCAATGCGACGACGGACGCGCGGTGCCGACGTCTGATAACTGGATTTGACAGCAAATCCAATGCTGGCATTGCAGCTGTGCACATACTCGGGTCGTCACAGTGGCCGTACGTCTGCAGTCATTCTTCGTGTAAGGTTACAGGTTATAATCTGCAAGTCGAAACAGATCTCTTTACGCGGGGAAGACATGACAGCCACAGAGGCGGTCGTAAGGGGCCCAGAACCTGTTGTCAGCACTCGGCCCCCTACCACTCTTTCAGTGCAGCCCCTCCCTTGGATTCGGCATCCAGATACTTCTGCTCCTCTCCTCCGGGAGTGATCACCACCTCAGCCCCATAACTGGATTCTCGAAGCTGCAACTTAACAAGCCGGTCAGGAGCGACTCAGGGAACGACCAGTGCTGGGATTCCGCCCCGACGGTCGCCCCCATACTTCGGAATTTCGCGGCCGCCCCAAAGGTGGAATTTCCGCTTGAGCGAGTCCTCACACGCTAGCTGAGAAGCTTGCTTGAGGCTTCTTCCTGTGAGTGCGATACCCTATAGTACTATACTATATGTTGTAATAATCGGGCTTGCAGCATGTGCGATCCGAAACACTCGAAGATCCTCTTGTTTAGTCTGTGGTCGATCGCTCGAGGTGGAGGAAGAGATGTAAGAAAATGTATGTACATATATGATTTTACTTATACATACATAGATTAGTAGATATATACATACATACATGCATATGTGAAGATTGTAACCCACGTACATGATGCTTCGTCCTGCATCTCAGAGCCAAACGGCACCGAGAGGAACTGGCTCGGCAGGTGTGAGCGGTGCTGATCGTACTCCTCCGGCCAAAACCCGTTCCCCCCGAGGACCTTTGAGAACCAGGGTTTAGGGTTTAGGGTTTAAGGTTTAAGGCCTAGGGTTTAAGGTTTAGGGTTTAGGGTTTAAGGTTTAGGGTTTAGGGTTTAGCCGGTCCTCTTTCGTGAAGTCAGAGCTCACGAACACCACAGCCTTGCGACCAGAGCATGGGAGGGAACCTGCGGGCAGACCGCAAACCGAGCCTTGTCACCCACGTCCTTCATGAACTCCGTTAGCACAGGTGTGAAGGCAGTACACATGGGGCACCACTCGCCGGCGAAGTACAGCGCGACCGACTTTCCCTCAGGGTTCAGGGCTTAGGGATCTAAGGCCGAGGAACGAGGGCTTCGCAGCTAGTCATTGGGATTAGGGTTTCGATTAGTCTACGAGGTTGAGTATACTGTAGTATACTATACTATATCATATCATACTATACCATGCCATAGTATACTATACCGACTATACCATAGTAGAATAGGCCTCAAGGGAGCTTCCGTCGACTTCCTTGCCCTCAGCGTCCAGAAGCGGCCCGAGGCTCGGGGCTGCGCTCGGCGCCGCCGCCATCGCCACGGAGCTCGCGGCGATGCTCCGCCGGGAGCCGATGCTCGGGGCCGTCAAGAAGCACCTATAGACAAACGGAACCAGGTAGGGAGTTCTCAGTATCCTACCATAGTAGAGCTTAACTAGCATTTCATACCAAGCCAAAATCCTAAGGCTTTGCCTGCTGGCTCCGAAACTTCTGGTATCTTTGCCAAGCCTGGTGAAGCCAACAGCCGGGATGAAGAGCCCAGTGCAGACGGTTAGCGCCGACAGCCGCGCAGGAGTTCTGCAAAGACGCCTTTGACCCGTCTCGGGGCTCACAGAGGCCTTCTTTGTTACTTCTGGACGAGGTTTCTAGGGATTCATAAAGATTCCCTTTATTTCCAACTTGTCATACGGGTTTTGTGGACCCCAGAAGGAGTGTGGGGCATTGGGCTCCCTGACTCTCAACCCCGATCACATCCCATCATGCTGAAACCTCGGTCAGGGTATATTCAGGTATATTACAATACAATACAGAAAAGTCGGCATCTCAACCCCGACCTACACCCGGCAAAGCCAGAAATTCCAAACTCCCTTAGCGGGTTTAAGGGGTTGAGGATTCCTGACTTCAGGATCGAACCTGATAAACCATAATTGCTTGTGGGTTCAAGGGTAGCCATGAGCATGAGATAGCTACCTGACTTCATCAGCCCACCAATACATACCCATAAGCCCTCTCAATCCCAATCAAGACCAACACAACACAATACAGACATATCTTGCGTCTCATGAATACAACCGTTCCTTAAACGATGCAACCCTCCATGCCAAAATCCTACATATCCGGACACCATATCCGTATAGTAAGGGGGGAATGGGAAGCCTGGCGAGCATCGCAAGCAGAGCGCCGTCCAAAAGTCTGAGCCGAAGCGGCCGCGAGCAGGCTGCAAGGTTTGGGCTTAGGGTTTAGGGTTTAGGGTTTCGGGTTCAGGGTTCAGGGCGTAACTTAAACCTCGGATCTGCGGCAACCTTAAGTGCCTTTTAAATCGCCTTAAGTCTTTAGGATTAGGCGTGGGGTCACACATATTGTATAGTATGGTATCTTATCCTATCTTGCCTTACCTTATCTGTCGATCGATCTATCTATCTATCTATATATTTATATTTATAGTTATATAGTTATTTATTTCCTTCCGTATCTGTTTATGTACTTCTTTTTATCTGGTTATTCCATTAATCACACAGGTTTTTTTGTCGCGCTAAGCACCCTCCAGGTCTTGGCCCGACTGCTTCATGGCTCTGCTATCTCGATGGAATCTGTGGGCGGCTGGGGCCTGCAGCTGTTGAAGCGTTCTTTTCGGAGCCTTAAGAATTGAAAAATAGGGCTTTGGGTTATATCATATTCTACCTAAGAAGGAATCGTAAAACAAAGTTATTGGTAATCTAAGGCCCCTATATTTATCCCGAAACCTCACCCTGAACCATTGCACTCTAAAACCTAAAATCTAAACCCAAAACCCTAAAACAAAGTTATTGATAGTTGACGGCCCTGTGTTTATCCCGAAACCTCACCCTGAACCACTGCACCCTAAAACCTAAAACCTAAATCCAAAACCCTAAACTCTAAACCCTGAACCCTAAACGCTAAAACCCTAAACTCTAAACCCTAAACCCTGAATCCTGAACCCTAAAACCCTAAAACCATCCTCGACCAACTCCCCAGGTCGTCCAGGGCCTCCATGAGCTGCACTGCAGCCTTCGCCTTCGCCATTCCTGGTCTCTGAGGAGGTGGGGTTTAGGGCTTAGGGCTTAAAGGTTTTAGGGTTTAGGGTTTAGGGGTTGGGGTTTAGGGGTTAGGGTTTAGGGGTTAGGGACGCTGAAACAAAGTTGAGAGGAGGGACGAACGCTAAGAACCTACCGCGGGCCTTCATCATTCGACGATACTCTTCCTTAAAATATACCTCAAAACCCTTTCTTGTTCTTTTTGTCCCTGTATTACACGCTCTGGGGAGGAAGTCATCTTACAGAGGCGACTCACACAAACGGGAGCGACGAGCTCTACTCCTTCAGTGGCTCGACAGACCCTACTGTACGCCCGACTGTCAATACACATTCATAGCGCACACATAGTTCACAAGAAGGATCCTACGATGTAGGATCTAGATAATTGATACCTCATCATACGGATGTAGTTCGTAATAAGTAAGGATCCTACCATGTAGGGTCTATATGTTTCATAGCGAGAACCCTCCTGTGTACGCACGCACAAGGATCATACTATTTATTAAGGCATTCAGGGTCTGTAGAATTCATAAACGTCATAAACAAAGGATCCTGCTTACTTGTTAAGCGCTGGGAAAACACAGACGGCAGTTGGTTTTGTGCGACCGCTTATTATGAATATGGTACTATTTAAGGTCTATACTACGGCATTCTGGATGCCTGTGGAAACCCTCTGTCTCCTGTGGTCCACTGGCCGCTGTCGAAGCATTTGATCGCTTGCCTTGGATTTCAAACCAAGTACTGCATTTGGGGCTTGAGGGCTTTAGGCATTTAGGGTTTAGGGTTTAGGGTTTGGCATTTAGGGTTTAGGCATTTAGGGTTTAGGCATTTAGGGTTTAGGGACTATAGACTTTTGGGATTTGGTGTTTCCAGGCCTGCAGGGTTTGGAGTTGGAGGTTTCAGGGTTCTGGCCTTTAGGGCTCCACGCTTCGGGCTTATGCTAGAGTTACTCACAATGTGTTGTGGCATATCATCGTATATAGTCTAGTATATTAGACTACATCATGGTATGCTGGAGCATATCATGGTACAGGAGAGCATGGTACGGTATCATATAGCATGTTATTGTAAATTTGAGCCAAGGTATGGTCTGTTAGAGCATATGCTGGTTTATCCTAGCATCTTCTATTATCTTGGAGCATACTCTGGTATATGGTAGCATCTTGTAGTAAACCCCTAAACCCTAGACCTTTCCCCTAACCCCTAAACCCTGAACCCCCAAACCCCTGAACCCCTAAACCCTTAGATCCCTAAAAAAGGCTCCGGCCTCCCCTCGTCCGAGCAGCTCCGCGGCCTTCGCCACGAACCGCTGCCGGCGCTCCATCGCAGCGAGGGGCCCGGCGTCTACAGGGTTGGGGGGCTGAGGGCTTAGGGCTTGGGGTTCAGGGTCTGGGAGTTTAGGGTTTAGGTTTTAGGGTTTAGGGCCTTAGGGTCTGAGGGTCTTAGGGCTCAGGGTTTAGGGCAGATGGCAAAGGCCACGACGTTGGTGCACTGCTGCAGGAACACCTGCCACACTTTGCTTCAAGCCACCATCTTGCTTTCCCGCATGCGCTTGTCGCGAACGAAGAGCTGCGGAGGGGTAACTGACCAGATGGTCCACTTGAGTCACATCACATGGACGAACAATCAGAGCCCCTAAAACTTTGAGTCACGGAAGTCTCCGAGACCGCCACGGAACATGCCGGCCGCCCACCAGTTCCTGAAGAACGAGGACTAGCGGGACTAGCGAGGACCACATGACTCTGGAGGCTTTGATTCCCAGAGACTCCAACATCATGTAATTCCGGGTTCCTCATCAGGGATCCCTGCTCTGAACCATAATCCATAACCGAATTATCAAGGATCCTTGTTCCGGTTTACCATATACTCCAGAAGAGCTTGTGGAGTCTCTGGAATTGATGATGCTGCAAAGCCCTAAACCCGAAAAAGTACCCCAAACCGCTCAGCCCGGCGCATGATAGGGGTTCACGTGCGCTGGCGCTGCGGAGGAGAATGCGGGTGGCATTGGCCTCTCGTTCAGCCCGCATAGATGGCACAGAGGGAAACACTAAACCCTTACAGACCCAACCCTGATATACTAGAATATACTAGAATACACTATAATACGCATAAGGTACTATGATATACTATGATATACTATATAATGTACTAGAACATACTATGATATGCTGGAACCTACTATGATATGCTACAACATAGTATGACATACTATACTAATACAATATCCGCTGACGTCAGCGTGGCCTGGAATATTCCATGGATCCCTTTGGCCCCCCAAGCCCATTCCACCTCGGTCGGGGCACATCCTTTGGTAATTCCCCGGCAGAGGCACCTGCGAGGCCCGTCGAACAAAATGAAGCAAGGGTTGAAAACGCTCCGCAAGAACTTTGATCACTTCTTGCACCGTGCTTCTCAATTTAGATTTGCTGTCCAAGCACATCCTTCGAACCAGGAAACTGTTGTTGCTATCACCATTGTTGTCGCCGCCATTGATGCAAGTACCCTGTCAGCTGTTTTTCTCATGCAACCGCGGCTACAGTGCCAAGTACTGGTGCTGAGGGTGTTCCCTTGTGGATGTCGCTAATCATGCGGAAGTTAATGCTAGTGTCACGACTCATGCAGCTGTTACTGCTACTGCCACCACCACGAACGGCATCACCTCCACCCCACCGCTGCCACTGACTACTGATTACTGACGACTGACAACTACAGCCTACTGGCTGCCGAGTGAGTTTTGACCACCGACTACCGACCACGAATACTTGTGCTCTAATTCGAGACCAGGGAGTATTGCGGGTTCAAGAAGCCTCCTCCCATTGAGCAGCGGATGTCGTGGATTGCCTTGAGCGCAGCTTCCACACCCTCCTGGCAGCACGCAAGCGGCGGCGGCTGCCTCTGCGTCTGTACTGACACCCTAGAACGGGCTTGCGGCTTGAGGTCAAAACCCTGCACCTTAGCCCAGAACCCTAAACTCTGAACCCAAAAGAACGCGAAGACAAGTTGAAGGCAATTGTGGTTCAGTTCTTGTTCCATGGTCGTTAACCCATGCTTGTACAGCTCCTCGTCACCACATCGCCTGAAGGTGCTGTGTGCCACCAATGCCGCCTTCACGCAAGCGTGGCAGCAGACTGCCAAGAGATAAAACTCAGAGAGCCACAACGAAAGCTATTCTGATAGCAGTGGTAGTACTAGGACGCAAACATCTTATTCAGAGTAGCTATACTGATGATAGGGATGACCGGAATGGGACCGACAACAAAAACTATCAACCGCTCATCATCAATCCAACAGCATGCTGCCTAAGATTGTCTTGGAAGGACTATCGTGTTGCAATACGAGTCACCTGCACTTGAGAGCGGGAGTATCAAGAGACCTCCAATAAATATGGATAGCAGGATCCTATCGTAGCAGGACCCCTAAATAACGTAGTTACCTGACGACAGCTGCTGTTGCTAATTCGACGATGACATCGACCACAACGACGACCGCCACTATAGTCACGCAACCCGAACGATTTCGATTATCAACAGATCC